AACTGTGAAATACTCCACATTTGTACTCAATAATCGCAATTACGCAACCGCTGTCAAAGGACAAGGTTGTGTGGGGGTATTTACAAAATGAAGTTGTAATATCACAATTAACTTTAATAAACGATATACCTATTTTTACACATTTCATAGTTTTTTATTGTGTAGTAGGCAACACTTATTAACTTAATTTAGGATTGTTTTCATGTTGTTTTATTTAAAAATAGAGCATCTGGAACTTTGATCTCGATTAAAACAGATGACTCAAAACACTTCCACTAAACTTTTCTTACGTCACACTTTAAAGTAGATAATTCCTCACAGCTCCATGTGGCATTAGACGAGTTCCCTGATGACTGCAGTCTGATCTCAGAGGGCTTCAGGCAGGCTTGTTTGTGTGAAGGTGAACTCTGAGAGGAACAGCTGATTCCCTGAGGCGTTCTTTGAAAGAGCAGATCCTCAGGGACCAGCTTCATTACTGACGGAGACCTTTAGCTTCTCAGCAGAATGTTGATCACAACACAACTTATCTGTATTACATATTATACTTTGTTTTGTGGTGGTTGTTGTTGTTGTTGTTGGGGAAATATTTTCCTAGGCCCATAACTTTGACCCAGTTTATCAGTTTGTACTCCCCTCATTGTCACAGGCCTCAACCTTGGGCTGTGCTCTCAGTGGTTTGTCTCCCTAGATTCAAGTTTCAAGGCTTTTATTGTCATGTGTACATAGCTACAGTGTAGATATATATATATATATATATATATATATATACAAATCTGAGGTCACAGGCTCCTCCGACAATAAAACAGATACAATAGTGCAAGTAAATACAAATACAATACAATAGAAATAGTGCAAGGAGAGTCTATACAAGTAATTGGAATATCATTTGTAAGTTTCAAACCGATTCCTGCCTGTTGGCGTCAGCTGATAGAGATGTTATAGTGCTTTATCCTTTTATGCACGATGTTGATTATTCCCTCAGAACTGGCTAAACGCATGCGTCTGGGGTCGAGATCTGCAGCAAGCTCCAAATAAACCATCAGTGTTTGCCATCAAAGTTCCTGCTCTCCTCGTGTCTCTCTGAGTCGCCATTGCTTCAGAAGCTTCCATCACAGTTGTGTTGAGGATTTGTTTGGCATATATTACAAGACAACGATAAAGAGCAAATAATAAAAGCCAGCTGCATTTATTTAGTCATGTTCTTTACCTCAAACACAAAATGAGGTAATACCAGAAAAATGAAACGTAGATAGCTAATGACATAAGTAAAACAACAAGAGTTGTTATTTGGTCTTGAATTAAAGAAGGTGTAGGTGTGTAGAGTGTTATATAGGTTTTCTTTTAGCGCATGTAAATGGTCTGAAAAGGCTTTGTTCCCTCCAGACGGTGTTTCTCCCCCCCTTGCTGAAACACCTCCATTGAACTCCTTTGTTTACTTCAGGAACATGGTGACATCACTCTGTAACACTCACGCTTCGTTTGGCTAGCAATCCAACACATTGTACATGACAGGCTAAGGGGCGGGACATCTCTAAGCGTTTGACCAATCACAACAGAGCCGGCCAGCTAACCAATCAGAGCAGACTGGACTCTGGTTTCAGACAGAGGGTGAAAAGAGGTGCTGCAGCATAGACAGTATGAGAACAATAAAGAGCTTTTTGAACATTAAAGCATGGAGACATGTAGAGACACTACATACTGATATACACCTGAACATCAGCAGGAGAGGACTCTTTAAAGTAGAGACAGTACATACTGATATACACCTGAACATCAGCAGCAGAGGACTCTTTAAAGTAGAGACACTACATACTGATATACACCTGAACATCAGCAGGAGAGGACTCTTTAAAGTAGAGACAGTACATACTGATATACACCTGAACATCAGCAGGAGAGGACTCTTTAAAGTAGAGACACTACATACTGATATACACCTGAACATCAGCAGGAGAGGACTCTTTAAAGTAGAGACACTACATACTGATATAAACCTGAACATCAGCAGGAGAGGACTCTTTAAAGTAGAGACACTACATACTGATATAAACCTGAACATCAGCAGGAGAGAACTCTTTAAAGTAGAGACACTACATACTGATATACACCTGAACATCAGCAGGAGAGGACTCTTTAAAGTAGAGACACTACATACTGATATACACCTGAACATCAGCAGGAGAGGACTCTTTAAAGTAGAGACACTACATACTGATATACACCTGAACATCAGCAGGAGAGGACTCTTTAAAGTAGAGACACTACATACTGATATACACCTGAACATCAGCAGGAGAGGACTCTTTAAAGTAGAGACACCACATACTGATATACACCTGAACATCAGCAGGAGAGAACTCTTTAAAGTAGAGACACTACATACTGATATACACCTGAACATCAGCAGGAGAGGACTCTTTAAAGTAGAGACACTACATACTGATATACACCTGAACATCAGCAGGAGAGGACTCTTTAAAGTAGAGACACTACATACTGATATACACCTGAACATCAGCAGGAGAGGACTCTTTAAAGTAGAGACACTACATACTGATATACACCTGAACATCAGCAGGAGAGGACTCTTTAAAGTAGAGACACTACATACTGATATACACCTGAACATCAGCAGGAGAGGACTCTTTAAAGTAGAGACACTACATACTGATATACACCTGAACATCAGCAGGAGAGGACTCTTTAAAGTAGAGACACCACATACTGATATACACCTGAACATCAGCAGGAGAGGACTCTTTAAAGTAGAAACACTACATACTGATATACACCTGAACATCAGCAGGAGAGGACTCTTTAAAGTAGAGACACTACATACTGATATACACCTGAACACCAGCAGGAGAGGACTCTTTAAAGTAGAGACACTACATACTGATATACACCTAAACATCAGCAGGAGAGGACTCTTTAAAGTAGAGACACTACATATTGATATACACCTGAACATCAGCAGGAGAGAACTCTTTAAAGTAGAGACACTACATACTGATATACACCTGAACATCAGCAGGAGAGGACTCTTTAAAGCAGAGACACTACATACTGATGTACACCTGAACATCAGCAGGAGAGGACTCTTTAAAGTAGAGACACTAAATACTGATATACACCTAAACATCAGCAGGAGAGGACTCTTTAAAGTAGAGACACTACATACTGATATACACCTGCACATCAGCAGGAGAGGACTCTTTAAAGTAGAGACACTACATACTGATATACACCTGAACATCAGCAGGAGAGGACTCTTTAAAGTAGAGACACTACATACTGATATACACCTGAACATCAGCAGGAGAGGACTCTTTAAAGTAGAGACACTACATACTGATATACACCTGAACATCAGCAGGAGAGGACTCTTTAAGAAAATAAATCATGCATGTTGGACAGTTTCCTTTTATTTTGTATTGTCTGTTCTATTACTATACAGTAAGTCCTTCATCTCAAGTTTGAACGAAATACTGAAGATTAGGTGCAGATAAACAAAAAAAAATACTACCCTTGTGTTCTTGTTTACCAAATCTCTCTCAGAGAATCAGCACTTTGGAAACAGGGCTGAAACAGAGGGGATTATGGGTAATGCTCCAATGATCTTTTTGGTGTTTGGAGCCAAACACTTCAGAGACATGTTCTGTATCTGAGAGCTATAATATATTGATGAAAAACATTATAATAGGGGACCTTGTTCTCAGATCCTATTTTTTTGGCCTTGTTTTGCCTGAAAACAGAAAATAAAACCTTGTTCTATACTCGGGTCCTGACTGAAGCTTTAAATGAATTTCTAAAACTTTAAATCCAAAATGAAGAACACCTCCTTTTCCCAAAACAACGACACATGACTCCGAAGGAAACGGTTCACTCTTTTATTGCCGTAATACAGATTCATCAGAAAAATACAAAAATTGTAAAGCTATAAGAAAATATACAAAAACATACAAGCATTCAAATATATAGGGGTATACATTTATGGTGGTCTTTTTTGTATTTATTTATGTTAGTCATTTACAGACAGTACCCTGTGAGGCCCCTTGGTGAGATGAAGACAGATATAATGAACATTAGGGTCAAAGAGAAGATAGAAAAATGTACAAGAACCACTTTTGTAATGATGGATAATACTCAGATATGTTTAGGGCACTCGAAGACAACATCTAGAAATTGCAGAGTGCAGAAAAAAGTGGATTTTCAAAAATAAAAGCAGTATTTATTTTGAGTAAACACTGATTTCTGTTATATCCATTTCATCACATTTTAACAGCTTTAGTGATACTTCTAATTTCTTCCCTTTAGACCTGCGATCAAAGTGAGGTTATATGGGAAAACAAGTCGTGATTTTGTATAAAAGTGGCCAATTTAAATATTGGGAGTGGTAACAACTTTTTTTACCTACATTTGCTATACTGTGGTCGAAGAACTGCTATAAATACAACATATTTAACAAAGCGTACAAAACAGATCAAGTATACACAGTAACAGATGAAGTGTGTGTGTGTGTGTGTGTGTGTGTGTGTGTGTGTGTGTGTGTGTGTGTGTGTGTGTGTCTGTGTGTGTGTGTGTGATATTACTTTGTGCTTATTTCTACTCTCTACAGTACATTGAGTAACAAAGACAGCCAGCATTACTATCCCTGTGTGTGTGTGTGTGTGTGTGTGTGTGTGTGTGTGTGTGGTGTGTGTGTGTGTGTGTGTGTGTGTGAGGACTAGCATTACTATACTTGTGGGGACCTAAATCTGTTTACACAGTCACGTGTGGGGACTCGCCTCCCTTATGGGGACAAATTGGAGGTCCCCATGAGGGGAATCATTAATTTTAGGGTGAAGACTTGGTTAGGTTAAGGGTAAGGTTAAGGGTTAGGTTAAGGGTTAGGGTTAGGCATATGTTGGTTATGGTTAAGGTTAGGATAAGTCTCCAGAAAATGCATGTAAGTCAATGTAATGTCCCCTGAAGTGATGTATACATGGTATGTGTGTGTGTGTGTGTGTGTGTGTGTGTGTGTGTGTGTGTGTGTGTGTGTGTGTGTGTGTGTGTGTGTGTGTGTGTGTGTGTGTGTGTGTGTGTGTGTGTGTGTTAGAGGCCATTAGGGCTGCACAATTAATCAACATTTTCTTGGAAATTGCAAATTTCAAAATGGACTAGTGCTGTATCCAAATCGAACAAAAATCGAACTTTATTATCCTAAATGTAGGAACACACACACAGGTGAACAGATGTCTCGGGATTCCTTGGAGGTGTAATCTCTTGTGTTTCACAGCTGTAGCTTTAGAGTGGATGAGTTGTTGTATTTTAAGACGTACAAATGAGTTCATTTACATAACAGAAATATGATTCTATATCACAAGCTTTCAGACAGACGTCTTCCTCGTGAAGAGCGCTGAAGGCCACAGAGGCTTTGAGAGAAAAGGCCCTTTGGTTTTGTCCATTGATGTAAAGAGCTCCTCCTCTTCCTCCTCTTCCTCCTCTACCTCCTCTTCACGCTGTTATTCTCCTGTTCTCTCTGGGTGATGAAGATGAGATCACTTCTTGGAGAGCAGCTGGTTCTCTAGCTGCTCCAGACGGGCCGTCATGGCGGACAGTGGACAGAGGGTTAGGGAAACATAATCACATGGAGCACAATGTGCATCATTAAAGGCCCTGTCAACTGCAACGAAAGTACCAAAAACAATTATGTTACAGTACTATGATACTGTACTGATATCTTCAGACTTTGTTCTTTACTTTATCCGTCTTTATATGTAGAAAATATTACGTTTTCTCCGTAATGTTGTTTCCATAACAACAACAACTTCCTGTCAACTCGCCTTCAAAACAATATATTATATCCTTTTTAGTTTCATAGAACACAAATTGGGTTATTTACATAATATGTTTGCATGATTTTGTTGTGCAATAAAACAACCAGATGGACACACGATAAAGGAAATGTTCAAATTCGGCTGTGATCGTAGCAACATCGGGCCATTCGTGAGGGCATCTTAAGCCATCGTATGACCGCCGGTGGAGTTTCTCAGGCTCCGGCAGCAACTTTGTGAGCAGTGGCAAAATCTTTGACATGCCAAAAAATTGCCGAAGGACCTTGCGAAGGTTCATTTTCGTGTTGAATTCGTGTGTCAATTTTGCCCTTCGTAAGGCCATCGTGAGGGCATCTTGTTATCATCGGTGCCATCGGGCATTCGCCCCGATCAGAGTGAGGGTGAATGCCCGATGATAACACGAAGATGACACGATTTGACAAGATGCCCTCACGATGCCTTACGAAGTTGCCGCTCACGAATGGCCCGATGTTGCTACGATCACAGCCGAATTTGAACATTTCCTTTATCGTGTGTCCATCGGGTGTCCATTTCGGCACGGTGTGACAGGGCTTTACCTGATCAATCCTGGAAAATATGCAAGAAGTCTCTTTTCTTCTTCTTGGTTTTCTGTTGCGATTCGTTTATAATGAATATAAAAACATGAGTTTATATTCTGAACAAAGCCTATCTGTTTAATGAAATAAGCCGATAAAGTATAACACCATATATATGGTATATTTGCATTATTCTTAAGCAGCAACAAATATAAAATAATCCAATAACTTTGTGGTAACATTTAGTAATTCACTAGACTTTTGTCAGATGAAAAAATAAGGGGAGTTTTTTTCACCAAATTTGACTAAAATCTGGATGCGAGATTTTATATAAATATAGGGGGCGCAGCAGTGGCTCAGTCTGTTGGACTTGGGACTGAAGGGTCGCCGGTTTGAGTCCCGATCGGACCAAAACAAATACAGTGTTGACTGAGAGCTGGAGAAAGCCCTTGAGCAAGGCACCGAACCCTTCACTGCTCCCTGGCCCTCTCCAGATGCATGTGTATTCTACCTGTATTCTGTATAGTGTGTATAAGTGTGTGGGTATTACAATGATATGCATGTGTGCACCTTCCTGTATACTGTGTGTATAACTATGTGTGTGTGTGTGTGTGTGTGTGTGTGTGTGTGTGTGTGTGTGTGTGTGTGTGTGTGTGTGTGTGTGTGTGTGTGTGTGTGTGTGTGTGTGTGTGTGTGTGTGTGTGTGTGTGTGTGTGTGTGTGTGTGTGTGTGTGTGTTAAAAATATATATATAAGCCAGCGTGAAAACTGAAATAAATATTTTTTGTAAAAATCACTTCCATGCAGGGTTAATTTTAATCAGATTCACTTGTGTTTTGTTCTCCAGGTGTTTCTATGGAGATGTTTTATCCGGTAGTTTTAAAGGATATGTTTCTGAGTGAGCTGCTCCAGGCTGCTCATGGTCGCCTGCTGGAACTCCACCAGACTCTCACAGGCACAGGGGTCCTTCACCTCGATCTCCCCCTGACTCTCCGCTACACACACACACACACACACACACCACACACACACACACACACACACACACACACACACACACACACACACACACACACACACACACACCACACACACACACACACACACACACACACACACATACACACACACACACACACACACTTAGTCATTTGATTCTTATATATTGTACATATTTTTATTTGAGTTTTAATGTATTTTATGGAGGTTTGATTTAAATCAGATATATATTACACATGTTATTTATTCTAGCTATTAATACGTGACACATTGTTATTTAATGAATGATTGCATTATTTTATTTCATACATATAAACAGTATTTATATATTGTTTCCGGCAGTTACATATTTCAGTCAGCAGAGGGAGCCACACACCAGGAAATCATTACAGCGACACGCGACTCTCATCCTCTACTTTGTACTTTATGATGGACAAAATCATATAACTATTTTAACATTTGTGTCTTTTACTTTATTTATGACATTTTAATTAAGTAAAATAATGTTATACATCATTTAACGTTAAAAAAACAAAGTTCAATGATCATATTAAACTAAGAATAATACATTTCTGTTATTTTACGCATCAAAGCAATTCAATAAATCCTAATAATGAAATACTTTTGTATCACAATAACAAATATCCTTATCTATTCAATTCAATAGCCTTAATATATTTAAGGAAAATAAACGATATCTATTTGCCGTGCACAAAAGTGAATTATTATACTTGAATTTAGTGATTTTCCATTCCACAATATTATCTTTTTAGGACAATAAAGAACTTTTTGGGGGCTTTTTTTCTAGTTTAACACAAAACTCATGAAGCTGCAATAAAGTGGAAATGAACCCTGGAAACTCCTCCCTAGTATTGTGTGTTTCAGCTCCTCTAAGTTGTTGTTATCCTGCATGTTGTACTCAAGGTGTCAGAAACACCCAGATCTTCTAACCTGGGCAGATGTTGAGTTTGAGGTTCTCTGCGATGGTGCTGATGGCGGAGAAATCGGTCGTGTAGTAGAAATGTTTCTCCGTCGGTTCAGACGCGATTTCACGCAGCTCGTCTTCCACCGCTTTACCAACGCCCACCGCGTACATGGTGATACCTGTGCACACACACACACACACACACACACACACACACACACACACACACACACACACACACACACACACACACACACACACACACACACACACACACACACACACACACACCACACACACACACACACACACCACACACACACACACACACACACACACACACACACACACACACACACACACACACACACACACACACACACACACACACACACACACACACACAATGTAATTTAATGTGCAGGACCTTGAATAGGACTGTACCTTTGAAATAAACTTTAGCAGTGAATCGTTAAACTAGGGGACATGTCGTTTTGTATCACGGTGAGTTTATATATCATGAACAAATATATTGTTTTGTCTGTTCGATTAGGAAATGGTTTTATAAACAGTATCACTAGTATCAGTAACAATCTGCATGAGACAACAATGATTAAAAACACTCAAATCAGTAATATTGTAAAAAGTTAAATAAAGCTAAAATAGTCGTTTTGAACAATAACTTTAAGTGTTACAGGTTTTAAAGTAACAGATGCAAATAAAAACCAACCGGACTCCAGTCAGGGCAAAATAAAAATCACAGAAATGTTAGTTTTTATTGTAAAAATGCATTAGATTACAAAAATGTATAGTTTTTTTGTTGCTATGTATTCTTCTGTCTGTGTCTTTATTTGCGGCACATAAAAAACACCACAAACTGATTCTGATTTTTGGTCTATAGTTTAATCACAAATGTATAGTCTTTTTGTATTTAAAGGTCCCCTATTATACTGTTTTTCATCAATATATTATAGCTCTCAGATATATACAGAACCTGTCTTTGAAGTGTTTGGCTCCAAACACCAGATCATTGCAGCATTACCCATAATCCCCTCTGTTTCAGCCCTGTTTCCAAAGTGCTGATTCTCTGTCTGTTACTTTAGATGAAAATAAGGAGCCCCTCCCCACGCCCCTCTGAGAGAGATTTAGTTACAAAGAACTCAATGGTGCTCTAGGAGGAGATTCAGGTGATCAGGTGGGGGAGGGGGGGGGGGAGGGGGGGGGGGGGCGTTACCTTGGTTGGTGATTGGCTAATGGTTACACAAGACAACACATCGTTATGACATCATAAAGTGGCCAAAATCTGATCAGCTCATTTTCAGACAGGTTTTTATAGAAATGGATCAAAAAGAGAGAGAATCTTTGTTCCTGAAACTTTCAGAGTCTCTTTCCACAGAGGGGACACATGTTGATGTAGAAGAGACATGAAGAAGAGGGGACACATGTTGATGTAGAAGAGACATGAAGAAGAGGGGACACATGTTGATGTAGAAGACACATGAAGAAGAGGGGACACATGTTGATGTAGAAGAGACATGAGGAAGAGGGGACACATGTTGATGTAGAAGAGACATGAAGAAGAGGGGACACATGTTGATGTAGAAGAGACATGAAGAAGAGGGGACACATGTTGATGAAGAAGAGACATGAAGAAGAGGGGACACATGTTGATGTAGAAGAGACATGAAGAAGAGGGGACACATGTTGATGTAGAAGACACATGAAGAAGAGGGGACACATGTTGATGTAGAAGAGACGTGAAGAAGAGGGGACACATGTTGATGTAGAAGAGACATGAAGAAGAGGGGACACATGTTGATGTAGAAGAGACATGAAGAAGAGGGGACACATGTTGATGTAGAAGAGACATGAAGAAGAGGGGACACATGTTGATGTAGAAGAGACATGAAGAAGAGGGGACACATGTTGATGTAGAAGAGACGTGAAGAAGAGGGGACACATGTTGATGTAGAAGAGACATGAAGAAGAGGGGACACATGTTGATGTAGAAGAGACATGAAGAAGAGGGGACACATGTTGATGTAGAAGAGACATGAAGAAGAGGGGACACATGTTGATGAAGAAAAGGGGACACATGTTGATGTAGAAGAGACATGAAGAAGAGGGGACACATGTTGATGTAGAAGAGACATGAAGAAGAGGGGACACATGTTGATGTAGAAGAGACATGAAGAAGAGGGGACACATGTTGATGTAGAAGAGACATGAAGAAGAGGGGACACATGTTGATGTAGAAGAGACATGAAGAAGAGGGGACACATGTTGATGTAGAAGAGACGTGAAGAAGAGGGGACACATGTTGTTGTAGAAGAGACATGAAGAAGAGGGGACACATGTTGATGTAGAAGAGACATGAAGAAGAGGGGACGCATGTTGATGTAGAAGAGACATGAAGAAGAGGGGGACACATGTTGATGTAGAAGAGACATGAAGAAGAGGGGACGCATGTTGATGTAGAAGAGACATGAAGAAGAGGGGACACATGTTGATGTAGAAGAGACATGAAGAAGAGGGGACACATGTTGATGTAGAAGAGACATGAAGAAGAGGGGACACATGTTGATGTAGAAGAGACATGAAGAAGAGGGGGACGCATGTTGATGTAGAAGAGACATGAAGAAGAGGGGACACATGTTGATGTAGAAGAGACATGAAGAAGAGGGGACACATGTTGATGTAGAAGAGACATGAAGAAGAGGGGACACATGTTGATGTAGAAGAGACATGAAGAAGAGGAGACACATGTTGATGTAGAAGAGACATGAAGAAGAGGGGACACATGTTGATGTAGAAGAGACATGAGGAAGTGGATTTTGCACAATAGGTGACCTTTAAGTAATCAATAAACGAATGGTTAGGATGACAACCAACTCTCACCGGCTTCTTTGGCCTTCTTGGCGAACTCAGTGATGTCGTCCTGCGAGCGTCCGTCCGTGAACACGAGTCCGATCCTCGGGATGTTTCTGTCTAACGGACGAGCTCCTTCAGACTCAGAGAAACTGTTCTCTAGCATGTGTTTCAGAGCGAGGCCCGTCATCGTGCCTTTCTCCATGTAGTCCACCTGAAGGAGGTAAACAAGTCCTTAGTGCTGGCTTTTATTCTATCTAACACATATTACTCTTATATTTTATATTGTCTCATGTTCTTCTATACAGCTTTCATTTTAATTTAGATATACATACTGATGCCTATTATTTACATTTTCTTCTATGCAGCTAGTAATAACATTTTTTCTATCTTACCTTGCCTTTTATTATATTAGCTTTTTATGTCTTAATATTTGTAATGCTTTTTGTAAAGCACTTGAATTGCCTTCTTGTCTAAATGTGTTATATTTATAAAATGAAAATGGGCTGAGATCATGTCCCTGTTGGACGCCCCTTCATTAAAAGTCTGTGTATGACTTCTTCATGTACTTGTCGTAGGGATTAAGACATTTCTACCAGATTGTATTTACCAGTAAAACTCCTTGAAATGACACTGTCTTATATTTTCACAAAGACGGTGCCTCCTGTAGGGGGCGCTTTCACATTTAATACACTATGCACGTCCGCAACACACACATTGTACGTCTGCAACACACACTTGGTACGTCCTCAACACACACTTGGTACGTCCGCAACACACACTTGGTACGTCCGCAACACACACTTGGTACGTCCTCAACACACACTTTGTACGTCCGCAACACACACTTTGTACGTCCGCAACACACACTTGGTACGTCCTCAACACACACTTTGTACGTCCCCAACACACACTTTGTAAGTCCACAACACACACTTTGTACGTCCTCAACACACACTTTGTACGTCCGCAACACACACTTTGTACGTCCGCAACACACACTTGGTACGTCCTCAACACACACTTTGTACGTCCCCAACACACACTTTGTAAGTCCACAACACACACTTTGTACATCCGCAAACACACACTGTGTACGTCCGCAACACACACTTTGTACGTCCGCAACACACACTTGGTACGTCCGCAACACACACTTGGTACGTCCTCAACACACACTTTGTACGTCCGCAACACACACATTGTACATCCACAACACACACTTGGTACGTCCTCAACACACACTTTGTACGTCCGCAACACACACTTGGTACGTCCTCAACACACACTTTGTACGTCCGCAACACACACATTGTACATCCACAACACACACTTGGTACGTCCTCAACACACACTTTGTATGTCCGCAACACACACTTGGTACGTCCACAATACACACTTGGTACGTCCTCAACACACACTTTGTACGTCCTCAACACACACTTGGTACGTCCGCAACACACACTGTGTACGTCCGCAACACACACTTGGTACGTCCTCAACACACACTTTGTACGTCCTCAACACACACTTTGTACGTCCGCAACACACACTTGGTACGTCCTCAACACACACTTGGTACGTCCTCAACACACACTTTGTACGTCCGCAACACACACTGTGTACGTCCTCAACACACACTTGGTACGTCCTCAACACACACTTGGTACGTCCTCAACACACACTTCTCTCAGAGTTTCTTTGAGCCTCTCCTCGTTAACTGAAGGCTGAATGGAGTTCTGCATGTTCTCTGGCATCTGGTCTTAAACTATTTAAACACACAGTTGAATAACTCTACCTTCATGACGGCGGCTTTGATCTCGGCGGCGGTGTGGTACATGTTGAGAGGGAACTCAGTCCGGACCCGACTGGAGTACTGGACGAAACCCACTCTGGTGCCGTGAGCCGAGACGTCCAGAGAGTCCACCACCTGCAGCACAGACACTCTGTTATTGATCCTCCATTGTTACATCTGTAACGTTAAACTTGCCTATCATACAGATAGTTTCATCATTAACCTCAGCTTTCATTTCGGATCTGATTATTTTTCTTATGGGTACATGAAAACTCTGTTGCAATTATATCAGATAACTCATAAACTACTTTAAATGCCCCTCCCATAATGAATAGTCGAACCGATAAATACAGAACAAATGATACAATAGATATATAAGATATATTTGAAGTATAGTAATTTAAAGTGGACCTATCATGCTATATTTGAATAATAAAGTGTAGGACCATACCTATATAAGGCATATTTATACTTTTTTTTTTTTTAAATACCAAACAGATCATGCATTTTAGCCATTCCTCATTTCGCTCAATTTAAAACGGTCTTTGCATGGGCTGATTCTGTGAGAACAGCACCATCTACAGGCCTGGCATATGTACTACAGCGTCTCCAGCGCTTTCGAACGGCAATGTCCGTGGCTGTCTCCTCCTGATTGGTGGAGTTGGCCCAATAGCCGTAGCGCCACTTCTGTGACGTCATAGAAGTGTTAAAATCTGTATCAGTCTGTATCAGATCCGTTGCAGCCCCTTTTTAAGAGATTTGGGTATGGAGGAAAATAGAGAGGGTTGTGTTTTCTGACACTTGGTGAGTTCCCTGGAACACCGGGGACACATATTCATGTATACAAGACGTACAAAAGTGCATTTTGCATGATAGGTCACCTTTAAGCCACCTTTAGCTTAGCGGTTGTGATGTGTAAGGCATGGGACCTGATAGGTAGTTCCATTTTAGCCGGACTAGTGATTGCATTTAAATCATAAAGTGGTGTTAATACGTGGAGATTGTCCTGCTGAACAAAACGTGTAAGTATCATAAACGTTTGTTTGACGAATAATCCAAAATCACATGAATAAATCCCACTGGCTTTTATGGAGGAAGCCCTTATGATGCTAACTTCTTGGTCGGCCTACACAAATACATTATCCCCGTACCACCGTATACAAACTGACAAGAAAAGACGTTCGTTGTTTGTATGAAAGTATGAAGATGTCTCACCTGGTTAACAAACTTTTTGACCAGCTCGAAGTTTTGTGGCCGGACGCTTTTAGAGCCGTCGATCAGAAGCACCAGGTCGATGTTCGCAGACTTGCAGGCTGAGGGAACGAGTGACAAAGAGCCAATACATATAAAACACTTTGTTTCGGTTGCTATACAAATATTGAGGCTTTTCCATAACCGTCAGCCATGACAAACGGCCTCAGATTTAAAGAATCAGCCGTGTGATATTTCATAGTTCAGACGTCCTCCATGTCGATATAAAACCTCCTTGTTCTCACAGGTTCTTTGGTGACTTTGTGAGTTTTCATGGGAACAAAAGAGGTGTTTCAGTGTCCTGTGCGTCAGGCTGTGGGTATGAATCTTGAGTGGATGATAAATGAGACATATCTTTCTTTACGAGCTGCAGTTTGAAGCTACTGGCAGACGAAGACTCCCCGGAGGAGAAGAAGATCTGAGTCCGTCCGGCCAGAAACTCTGAGCTGCTTTTAACATCAGAGTCATGTTCACACACAGCTTCTTTCAGCTCTGGATGAATACAGTCTTTATGTGAGGCTCATCACAACAGAGTGGATCTATGGGTTGAAACCTGCAGGTCCGCTGCAACTCTGACTACTTTTAAATCCAGACTAAAGACTTTTCTTTTTGCCGCTGCTTTTAATTGAACTATTCACATCTTAAACTGCACTGTAACTTTTATCCATGTATTTTTTCTTTTAATGTTTATTTTATTAGCTTTTCTTTTTAATGACTGATTTTAAATGCCATTTTCTTAATCTCTTTCGTTTTTTGTAAAGCACTTTGAATTGCCTTGTGTTGAAAAGTGCTATATAAATAAACTTGCCTTGCACAATGGCCTGGTTCATCACTGAGGCAGCACACTTTAAAGTTGTAGGGAAATCTTAAGGTGCTTCAAATAAACATGGAACAATTATAGTACAACTTTAAAATTGTTACATTTACACTAATTAGACCCTAATTAAAGTTTGAAAGAGGACCCCTGCATTTTTTAACTCTTGATGTTAATGGCCAATACCAAATATATAGTGACACATAATTGTATTTTAAATCGAAGTTTATAACATGCAGTTTTTTATGCAGAAAAGTCCAACTTGGACAAAGTGGACGATTTTACCCTCCATAGCTTTGACCTAACACAACACCCTTCTGTTCTGTGCAAAGTGTTCCAGGTAAGAACATGTTGTCCTCCTCTCAGACTGTGAGGAACCCTGATTTATTTCCTGTATTCCTACTTTTTTTTGCCGGTTTCCTGTTGATTTAGACTGATCTAAGAAAGATGTGCCTCTGATGCTGCTGCTCCATCCTGCCTCACAGCGGTCACTTCCTCCAGACTCTACGATTCACAAGGTTTACTTTCAGGCCTCTAAGAAATGCTATAACCAGCTTTGAGTGGAAGATAGTTTTATATCTTGTTCATGTGATGTTTTGGTGTTGTTTTTTTTGTTTTGTTTCTTTCCGTTAACTGTCAAGTGGGAATTACGCTTCTCTTATTTTCCTAGATACTGTTATGATGGGACAGAGAAAGGGGCAGGTAATATAAGATTCTTTCTCCCTGCTCCTTTTCGGGATGGTGTGTTTATAGAGACATGTTTTGTAAATAAGTGTTATGCATTGAAGGTCCCCTATTATACTGTTCTTCATCAATATATCACAGGTCTCAGATATATCCAGAACCTGTCTCTGATTGGCTGAAACACCAAACAGATCATTGCAGCATTACCCATAATCCCCTCTGTTTCAGCCCTGTTTCCAAAGTGCTGAAAGTCTGTTACTTTAGATGAAAATAAGGAGCCCCTCCCCACGCCCCTCTGAGAGACATTTGGTTACAAAGAACTCAATGGTGCTCTAGGAGGAGATTCAGGTGATATGGGGGGGGGGGGTTACCTTGGTTGCTGATTGGCTAATGGTGACACAAGACAAAACATCGTTATGACATCATCAAGTGGCCAAAATCTGATCAGCTCATTTTCAGACAGGTTTTTATAGAAATGGATCAAAAAGAGAGAGAATCTTTGTTCCTGAAACTTTCAGAGTCTCTTTCCACAGAGGGGACACATGTTGATGTAGAAGAGACATGAAGAAGAGGGGACACATGTTGATGTAGAAGAGACATGAAGAAGAGGGGACACATGTTGATGTAGAAGAGACATGAAGAAGAGGGGACACATGTTGATGTAGAAGAGACATGAAGAAGAGGGGACACATGTTGATGTAGAAGAGACATGAAGAAGAGGGGACACATGTTGATGTAGAAGAGACATGAAGAAGAGGGGACACATGTTGATGTAGAAGAGACATGAAGAAGAGGGGACACATGTTGATGTAGAAGAGACATGAAGAAGAGGGGACACATGTTGATGTAGAAGAGACATGAAGAAGAGGGGACACATGTTGATGTAGAAGAGACATGAAGAAGAGGGGACACATGTTGATGTAGAAGAGACATGAAGAAGAGGGGACACATGTTGATGTAGAAGAGACATGAAGAAGAGGGGACACATGTTGATGTAGAAGAGACATGAAGGAAGAGGGGACACATGTTGATGTAGAAGAGACATGAAGAAGAGGGGACACATGTTGATGTAGAAGAGACATGAAGAAGAGGGGACACATGTTGATATAGAAGAGACATGAAGAAGAGGGGACACATGTTGATGTAGAAGAGACATGAAGAAGAGGGGACACATGTTGATGTAGAAGAGACACGAAGAAGAGGGGACACAGTGTTGATGTAGAAGAGACACTGGAGAAGAGGGGACACATGTTGATGTAGAAGAGACATGGAGAGAAGAGGGGGACACATGTTGATGTAGAAGAGACATGGAAGAAGAGGGGACACATGTTGATGTAGAAGAGACACTGAAGAAGAGGGGACACGTGTTGATGTAGAAGAGACATGAAGAAGAGGGGACACATGTTGATGTAGAAGAGACATGAAGAAGAGGGGACACATGTTGATGTAGAGGAGACATGAAGAAGAGGGGACACATGTTGATGTAGAAGAGACATGAAGAAGAGGGGACACATGTTGATGTAGAAGAGACATGAAGAAGAGGGGACACATGTTGATGTAGAAGAGACATGAAGAAGAGGGGACACATGTTGATGAGACATGGAGAAGAGGGACACATGTTGATGTAGAAGAGACATGGAGAAGAGGGGACACATGTTGATGTAAAAGAGACATGGAGAAGAGGGGACACATGTTGATGTAGAAAGAGACATGGAGAAGAGGGGACACATGTTGATGTAGAAGAGACATGGAGAAGAGGGGACACATGTTGATGTAGAGAGACATGAAGAAG